CCACGTTTCAGCTTTCACGTGGCACTGAGTCAGCTGTGGCCAGGACACAAAGTCACAAAGCTTTGAGATGCTTTTCTTCCTCTCTGTAATTCACTTTTTCTGCAAGCTTGCCTGATGTTTTAAAAAGGGCCCAGCAGCAGTGGTCATAATAATAACAGGAATCCTTGCCTCCCGGCAGTCTGCTTCCCGCCGTCACCTTCCAGGCGTGGGCCCGAGCGAGCACATTTATTTATTTATTTATTTATTTATTTAGTTATTTATTTGAGGAAGATTAGCCCTGCGCTAACATCCGCGCCCATCCTCCTCTATTTTATGCGTGGAACGCCTACCACAGCATGGTGTGCCAAGCTGTGCCATGTCCACATCCGGGATCCGAACCGGCGAACCCCAGGTCGCCGAGAAGCAGAACGTGCACACTTAACCGCTGCGCCACCAGGCCGGCCCCGAGCACACTTATTTTTTATGACCGGGCATCAACTGCGTAGGAAGGGGCTCTGATGACAGGCTGAGGACCAGGCACTGCTGTCCGGGGCTCTGCCGGGAGCTTTGTCTTATTTCATCCTCCTAACAGCCCTTTGAGGCAAAGGGTTATTTTCGTGTCTGTTTCTCAGGTGGAGTGAGCAGGCTCAGAGAGGTGGAGTAATTTGCACAAGGGCACAGAGCTTTGAAGTGGCAGAGGGAGGAATGGAACCCGGGTCGGCCTGATTCCGAGCCTGACACTCGTGTCCGTCCCCCTGTGTCATCTCAGTCCTGTGTTGTGGCTGAAGATCGTGTGCCCTGGGATCTGACCCACTGTGTGCCCTTGGGCCGCGTGTCCTCTCTTGGCCTCAGTTTTTCCACCTGTGGAGTGGGTAGAGCAGCCCCAACTCCTGGGTCTGCTCTTAGGATTGGGGGCCCCTTAGAATACCTGGCATATTGTGACTCTGCCCCTCCCCAGCTGGGCAGCCTCAGACAGGTGCCTAACCCTCTCTGAGCCTCAGTTTCCTCCTCTGTCAGTTGGAGACACCTACCCCTGCCTTACAGGGTTAAAGCGCCTGTGCAACACAGTAGGTGCTCAATTAACGCATCCTCTTCTTCCGCCTCGAGTGGACTCTGGTGCCAGGAGAGGACGTGGATCAGTCCACGTTGAGCGTGGGGCAGAGCCGCTTGGGAACAGGGCCCCCGGGCTCTGGCCCCACACCTGCCCTGCCCTCCCCACCGTCTCCATGAGGTCTGCCCTCCCCATGCCGGCACCCATGTTGTTTCCCAAATGAATAGAGTCAGTGTTCTCCTTTTCCTCCCAGAGCCAGGCTGCAGGTCCAGGCGCGGAGGGAGGGGCGTGCCCCGGGCTGGGTGGCGGTAGAGACACAGGGGAGCCCACCCCGGCCCTGGAGGAGGGGCTGGTTTCATCCCCACCAGGCTGGCTGAGGCCCCCGTGGTGCATATAACCTTGGGAGAGGACGCCCAGGTGCCGGGTTCCTCCGCCACGCGTTCCATCGGAGAGCTGCTCCCAGCTGCAAACCACGGCTCCAGGACCCTTCGCTCTGCAAGACAAGATTCTCGGCCCACAACGCACCCTGTCCCCCCAGCTCTGTGCTCTTCTGCTTCGGGACCCTTCCTGCCTCCCCAGCACCCAGTTGGTCTCACTCATTCAGTTTGTTTCCTATATCGCTTCTTTCAGGAAGCCTCCGACACCTGCCAGTCTCCCCACCCCCAGCACGCACTGTGCTGTATCCATTTGCACCTCTGTCCCCCTTGTTGGACTGGGAGCCCCTCGAGGAGAGGACCGTGCCTGATGCACTTTCCATGGAGGGCTGGGCAGGGACTTGGGCAGGAATTGGGAAAAGTGTCTCCGGAAGGCGGAACAGCCTGAGCAAAGGCGAGGCGCGTGGGATGCAGTGGTGAGTGGAGACCAGCATTTCCTTGACCACCACTGTGTACCCGGAACTGTGCCGGCTTCTTTGAAGCAAACACATGAACTCATTTAATCCTCGCAACGGCCCGAGGAGGAGGATGGGCTGTCATTTCCCTCCTACAGAAGCAGAAACGGAGCCTCGTGCAAGGGCAAGAGATCTGTGTAAAGTCACACTGAGAACGTCCGGTTCTGTCTGTGTCCGAACACAAACCTGGCCTCTGTGCCGCGTGGGACTCTCCTGGGCTTGCTAAACGCAGGCCGGTTTACTGTGAAAGAACATTTTGGATGTCGTTTTTCCCCTCAATTGCCAGCAGCCTTCGCTTGATCTTGAGCCTCTGATTGCAGCAGACAAACCCTGGGCATCTTGTGCGTTGACTTTTTTTCACCAATTTTTCCTTAAAATGAAGTGAGCCATACAGTAAAGCATATAAAGGGCACTAATGTGACGTGTACAACTCAGTGATCATTATATTCTTAAACACACCTGCACACGGCCCAGGTCAAGATCTAGAACATTCCTCATTCCCACAAAGGCTCCCTCAAGGCTCCTCCCCATGAAGGATTTCCCTCCCACCCTGGAGTCGTCACCCTAATTTCTATCACACGTGAGTTTGGCCTGCACTTGACCTTCACAGACATGGAACCACAGGATGTCGTCTCGGGTGCCCGGCTTCTCTGACTCACGTGGGGTCTGTGGGATTCATATACGTGATTGCACGTAGGGGGTGACGTGTTCCTTTTCCTCGCTGCGTAGTACTCCACCACTGTGCCCTGGCTAGACCACCCATCGTTTACCCGGTCTTCTGTTGATAAACATTTGGGCTATGAATTGACTTATTCCACTAACTTGACTGATTTCTATTTTTGTGATATTGGTGCAAGGAGTGGCTTTTATCAGGGCACTATGCAGAGGTCTTTGGCTCTCTAGAAGCTTACGGAACTGCGACCATTTCCTGCTGCTAATTGTCTTGGATCACAAACGTATATATTTGTTCCTCCGTGTCTTCCATTGCAACAGAGACTTGGCGGAGGGAGGGAGAGAAAAAGAAGCAAATATGCTCCAGCAGAAGTTTCTGGTTCTTCCCTTCACGTGAGCTAAGTGGCAGATGATGGAGCACGCCTGTAATTTAAAGTCAAATGCTCGTGGCTGACAGTGGGAGCCGTAATAAATGTGTTGCCACTGTCCTTTTCGTGTCCTTTCTCTGCTCCTTTGAAATCTCATAAATAACCAAGCGCGTGTTGGTGAGACGCCTGCCTCTCCTCCCCGGCTCCAGCGCAGCAGCTGCGGTTGCTAGGTTGAGCTCCTGGTTGCTAGGGATTCTGTGGTCCTGTGGTGGCCCAGAAATATGATGGATCCGTGGAACATGCTTTTGCTATTAGTCGAAATATTTCCACAGCGAATCTCTCAATGTCACTGCACGCTTTGATGGCATCCCAATTGCTGGATGATCCTTGCAGGTTTCTTTCCCAGTTAGAAGAAGTGGCTTGAATGGAGACACAAATGGCCTAGACGGGGAGTCAGAGAACTTGATTCTGGTCCTGTATCTGATATTAATTTGCTGTGTGACCTTGGGCAAGTGTCGTCCCTCTCTGGGCCTTGGACTCCACAACATTCAAGGACTTGCCAGCGTTAGTAGCCTCTAGTTCATCACTCAAGCTCTGTAGGCAGGCCAACTGCAAATCAGTTCCTCATTATCTGCTGGTGGATTGTAGACAAAAGAATTCTTGTCCCCGGCTCGCTTCCTTTCAACCCAGCAGGCTTCTGGGCTGAGAGTACTTGGCCAGATGGTGTGTGTGCAAGAGTTTCAGACTAATTTTAATATTCAATCAAACATAATTGGGATCATAAATCTGGAAAAGAAAAAAACAACACCCTACAACCCATAAACATCTGATCATGTCATTTTCTCTTTTCTCCTGCTTAAAAATCTTTGGCAGTTTCCCATGGCTGACTCCGGGGGTGGCAGACAGGTTCCATTTCGGTTGCTGAGGCAGATCAATTGGTGGCAGCTGCAGCTGATGATGTCCTGAAAAGAATCTGGACTTGCTGGTGTGCTGTGGGCTCTTGATCGATTATGATGTCTGCCACGGGTTGGACTCTGGACTCACGGTGTGGGATGTTGATCGATTAATGATGTCTGCCACAGGTTGGAATCTGGACTCACTGGTGTGCTGTGGGATCTTGATCAATTGATGATGTCTGTGATGGGATAGACTCTGGACTCACTGGCATGCTATGGGATTTTGATTGATTAATGATGTCTGCCACTGATTAGAATCTGGACTCACTGACAGGTGGTGGGGATCTTGATAGATTAGTGATGTCTGCCATGGGTCCAGGAATGTAGACAGGGGCACCTATTTGCCAATCATGTCTGGAGCTCAGAGCCCATGCCCTTTTAAGATCATCTTGGAGGCCTTCACGGTTGGTTCCTGCCAGCTTCTTGTGCTCTATCTCATCTCTTCTCTGTCACCCAACTCAGAAATACCTCCTTCTGTGTCCACATCCAGTTGGCCACCTGGTGTCTCCAAAGATCTCCTTTGTTTGTGTTGCGCCCTTTGTCAGGACCTTTATTACACTAAATCAGTCGGCTTTGCCTGTGTATCCTTCAATCACAGTTTTGTCTCGTCGTCTGTGATAGCTGTTTGACTCTCTCGGGTGAGGTTGGTTAGGCCGTTCCCGCGCCTGACATCCAGTAGTGCCCACTTATACCCGTAGCCTACCACTCTGCCTGTCTCGTGTTTGGTTACTCTCATGCCTCTTTCCATGTCTGCCTTGAGAGGCCCTCAGTGTCACGTTCTGGGTTCCACCCATCTTTGTGTTCCTGGAGCCCAGCAGGGTGCAGAGCCACAGTAAACCCACCGGGTGAACTCATGAATGAGGAAAAATCACACCACCTTCCCACGTCAGATAGAAATGGTTTTCATCACTCTCCCAGCAGCCTGAGTTCTGGGTGTCAGCACTCCTCAGCTTAATTGTGGGTAATTTACTGTGCTAACAAAGCAACCACACGTTCCCCAGAGACGGAGCCCTGCTTCGCGGGGTGAGTTTGCATTCTCTCCACCCTGATGGCCTCTCTCTCCTCCTCTCTCCCTTTGCTCTCAGCCTGAAGACAAGCAGAAGGCAGCGGCTGCCTTTGCCCAGCTCCAGGGCGCCATGGGGACGCTGGGCATCTCGGAGAGCGAGCAGCGAGCCGTTTGGCGGGTGTTGGCGGCCATCTACCACCTGGGCGCCGCGGGGGCCTGCAAAGGTAACGTCCTTCCTGCCGAGCTCACCTGGGCTGCCAGCTTTCTCCGTTGGCAGGTGCCCCACAAGACCCTTCTCTCAGTGAGGTGGGACAGGGCCAACCTGCCACCTTCCGTGTCTCGGGGGCGTCTCTCGGGGCGGCTGCTGAACCAGGCATGGTGAGAAGAAGCAGGGCTGGATGTTTCTAGCAAATCTTGTAGACTGGCGCCGCCCAACAGAACTTTCCACGATGATGGAGACGCTCTCGGTATCCACTGTCCAGTGCAGTAGCCACCAGCCGCATGTGGCTGTTGGGCATTTGACATGCAGCTAGTGTGACTGAGGAATTGAATTTTTAATTGTGTTACTTTTTAATTAGCATAAATTTAATTAGCCGTGTGTAGCTGTTGGCTACTGTACTGAGCAGAGAAGCCCTGAAACATGTGAGAGAGGTTGGGTCCAAGCAACAAAGGGGCTGTCTCTGTCTGGACATCTTGGAGATGCTCCCCACCACAGGTGCTGGAGCTGACCCATTATCCTCCTCCTCCCAGGTCTGCTCTCTCTCCTTATTTGTCTGTTTCTCCGGTGGTGCTGATCACCCCTCGGGCCCTCACCCCTCCCTATCTAATCATTCCCCTTGCCCTGTAGACACTCCCTGGGACAGCATTTCTGTCCTGGCTTCTCTATTCTTACTCTTTGTCTTTTTTTTTTTTTTTTTTGCTTGGACTGTTGCAGTAGCCTCTTTGCAGCTGCCTTCACTTCTCCTTATGTCTATCCTCAGTGTGACCACCGGGCTCCTTTCTAAAACATACACCTAGTGCCACTCCCCTGCTTAGAATCTTCCCGGGGCTCTCCCTTGCCTGCTAAATAATTTCTTGGCTTGGCATTCAAGGCTCCTCACCTCCCTAACCAGCCTCTTCTGCCCTCTCTTCTGGCACAGTAAAAGGTCCTGAGGGGACAGCAGGGATCAGGAGTAATGTGGTTCCTGCCTTGATGGGGCTTATGGGGCCTTGTATTGTGATTGAGTCCTTGTCTAGCTCTTTCCAGGAGGGAGTGGCTTCCTTTGGGCCCAGAACATAGAGTTCTGGAGTTGGAACTCACTTGTCGAATGAACATGTGTGAATTGAGGTCTGTCCTCTGGAATGATGTATTGACTCTGCCCATTCCCCTGTGGAGCAGCAGACGCTTCTGGAATATGCTGGCACATCATTCCTGCCATTCCCACAGTCGTGGGCCGTGTGGCCCATTGTTTTGAGTCTCATCCGTTCCAGCCACATGCATTGGCCGCTGATTTGATTTCGGAAATTTCTAGAAGTTTTGCTGAGTCGGACGTGAGTAAAATAGGTGTTCCACAGTTGGTACCAGCCAAGGACAGACATGCCTGACTACACAAATGTGCAAAAAACAGGTGCCACTTGCTTTTCTGAAACTCAGCCACGGGTCCTGCTCAGACCCTTGGGTGTCGGGATGTCACCACTGTTTTGTTCACGGGATGTAACATCTCTCGCTCAGCTTCCTGGTCACTGGGACCACCAGGGTCATGAACACCAGGGTGTGAGAACGCGGTCCTCTCACCAGCCTGGGGGGCGTTTCTCTTCCTGCAAAACTCTAGTCGCCAGTTAGAAACCCCCAGCTCTGCGTCTGGCTTCGTCTACACCAGGAGTCAGCAAATTGGGGCTTGTGGGCCCCATCCAGCCTGCTGCCTGCTTTTGTGCAGCCCGCAAACTAAGAATAGTTTTTCCATTTCAACTAGATGAAAATATGCATATATATGAATAATATTTTGGGACTTATGAAAATTATCTGGCGTTCAAATTATAGTGTCCATAATTCAAGTTTGCTTGGAACACAGCCACGCTCGTTCATTTACGCGTCTACGGCTGCGTTCCTGCTACAACGGCAGAGAGGAGTAGCTGAGACACGGATTGTACAGCCTGCCAAGATGAAAATAATTACGATATGGCTCCTCACAGAGAAAGTTGGCCGACCCTATTCCACACCATCCCCCTGGAAGGTCTCAGCCCTCGGGGGTCCCTGTGCCTCTGAATTAACTGTTCGGTTGTGATCTGAAGAAATTTCTCCATCCTCCTCGGCTCCAGCCAAACTAGAGAGAGGATGTCAGGAATCTGGCCCTGCCCCCAACTTGCTGTGTGACCTTGAGCAAGTCACCTGTCTCTCTGGTCTCAGTTTTCTCGGATGCGAAATTCTGGAATTGGGCCAGATTAGAGGTTCTTAATCTGGGGTCCGTGTACCCGGCCACCCATCCAAGTGTGGGTTTCAGGGCTTTGTTAGTTTCCTAAGGCTGTTATAACGAAGGACCACAACCAATGGGGCTTAAACAACAGGAATCTGTTTTCTGACAGCTCTGGAGGCTGGAAGCCAGGATCAAGGTGTCGCAGGGTGGGTTTCTCCTGAGGCCTCTCTCCTCGGCTTGCAGACGGCCTCCTTCCTGCTGTGTCTTCCCATGATCACCCTCCATTTGTGTGTCGTCTGGCCTGATTTCCTCTTCTTATAAGAACACCAGTTACACGGGATTGGGGTCCACGCATATGACCTCATTTCACCTTAATTACCCCTTTAAAGGCTCAGTCAACAAATACAGTCACCGTGTGAGGGACCCGGGGCCGGTACTTCAATGTAGGAGTTTGGGGTGGGGCATAATTCAGCCGTAACACACCCCAGTCCCTGAGATGAGCCGGCACTGACTTTGTGCCCAGACCTGGCTGAGGGAGGGATCGGAGAGGCTGTGAAGACGGAGTCCTTTCTTGTGAGTTTGCCATTTTATTTGGAGAGAGGAAACTTCTGAACTTGACTCCGTCAGCCGATTTTGTAAACGGGCCGAGTTTGGGGTGCGATCGCTCGGTGCGGGCCGGGAAAGCTGTGGAGGTTCAGAGTCGGGGTGTGGACGCCTTCCAACTGGGGGTGTGAGGAAGGAAGCAAACCCATTTTACAGAATGGGAAACTGAGTCTCAGGAGGTCTAGGTGCATTAAGCCAGGGTTCAAACCCAAACTTCTCTGGGCTTCCGTGGCCTCCTCTTTCAATGCACTGAGGATGGGGTTGATGGGAGGAAAAACGGGATCAAGAAAACGCAGCTGAATTAGGCTGGGTTTCCCCGAAGACAAAGATTTGGGTGCATTTAGATTATTTGCACCCAAAGGGACCCCAGGAGGCGCTGGTGGGGAAGTGAGGCAGGGAGGGGAGGGAGGTGACAGGATATGTTGATGAGCGGGTTACCTCTGGGTGTTTGGGGCTCAGTCCCCCTGCAGACCTCAGGGAGCCTGAGGGACATGCCTCCTGGTTGAGTTACCCAGGAGGAGAGGAAGCCGGGGTGTTTATACACCGCCTCCTGCTTCCCCCTGCTTGACGGGGGCTCCTGGGTGGAGGGCGTTACCTCCTGCACCCTGAGCCTGCCCCGTGCGTGGGCTAAGCACGCTCCTGCAACCAGAGAAAGCAGAGAGGAAACAGACAGGGTACCCACAGTGACAGGCCAGGGACACATATGGGTGGCACGTGTCGGGTGGCCAGGGCGACGCAGGGTGGACGGGTCATCAAGAGCGTCTAGCTCAAGGCGGTCCTCCTGGAGGAGGTGGCTCCATGACGGTGGTGTTGAGCCCGGAAGAAGGGACTCTCCCAAGGAGACACAGCCACTTGCCTCTCTGTCACACTCCACTCAGACAGGTTGCTCCCTCCTGGGGATCTGCAAAGCCTAGGGAGAGAGGAGCCTTGCAGATGGCTGCGGGCTGCCTTCTGATTTCCATGGTCACAAGTGAACCCTCGCTGCCTTTGATATGACAAGACAGAGGCCAGCGAAGCCCCCTGGCCTATTGACCTGTCCCCAGAGCAGTGTGCTTCCCGCCCCGCGTTCCTCCTCGTGGGGCACGTGGGGCGCCCCCTCTGATGTGGGCTCAGGAACTTGACCCGTACCTGTGGCCGCCTGTGATGCTAAAAGAGAAAGTCACATTTATAAATATTTTATTAGTACATGATTATGGCAATAATTTCTCCCAGCCTCCCCCACCCCACCTTATAAATTATTTTAAGAGGAGCCACTGTCAGTCTGCCTGGGAGGCCTGCCCAATGATTTACTAACTGTATATATGTGGTTCGGAAGATTTCATAATAGGCAGCTCTAAAATCAGCGGTTAAGAATTTCAGAGTCGTATATAAATGTCTTTGCTTTGTGTCATAACAGATCATTTTGAAATATATTAAGAATCATTTCCATTAATCAGCTTTTTTTTTTTTCATTAAAATAATTCCCTCCCCCGGTGCGCCTGGCTTCCTTAGCTTATTTGAAAGCCCTGATTCTGATTTTCAAAACCGACATCACCCCGAGTGGGGAGATTTGGGGCCTTATAACTGGACTCGGGGTTTCTGAGCTCTGATAGCGAAAACAACCACCCCCGCTAATGTCGGTTTACTGTTTGGTGGTTTCAAAGCCCCAGGACCTCACTTCTGCCTTTGGGTCTTATTAGATTTCTGCAGTAACCTGGTGAGGAAGAAGAGCGCCTCGTGGGCAAGAATCAGGAGTCAGCTGCTGGGTGTGGATCCTGGCTTGGCTTCTCTGAGCCTCAGTTTCCTCCTCTATACCACGGGGCTCATGATGGTACCCACTGCGTAGGCTTGTTGTAAGGGTTAAATGCATCCATGCCAAAACGTGTGGCACACAGGACTTGGCCCATGATCGGGTGCTTCCTAAGTGTTGGCTTTCATCCATCTCCACTTGATAGATTAGAAAATGGAGGCTCAGAGAGGGTATGTGATTGGCCTGACATCACACAGCTCATATGTTTCAGAGTGAGCTTCGGAACCTTGGCTGGGCTCCCTGCAAAGATGGCTCTATTGCCCTAGACTTTGCACTGGGCTGTTAGGGTCCTTCTCTGCTGGAGAATTGGCTTGTTTTCCCGGGTGCCGTGCTGAGAGCTTACAGCCACGAGGACGTCACTGTACAGCCCTTGAACAGCCTGGGGAGGGTGAGAACTGTTAGGATGCCCATTATACAGATAATGAGGCTGCAGCTTCCC